TTAACTTGTTGAAAACAGGGCAGGATTGTTTGGAAGCTGGTTAACGCTAACCCAGGATTAAAAGTTAACCGAATTATAACTTTTTCTTCTATACAAATGATTTTTGCTGCTTTGTTTTGTGTATAGGGTGATTATTGAAACTCAAAACAGAAGGCCAAACAACATACAGAAAACCTCACTGCAAAGTTACAAAACTCAAATCAAAATTCTACCTTTTCCTGGGTTAGCTTAAACGGGCTCTGAACAACCCAGCCCAGGAGCTACGCTTTTAGGCTGGCTTAAATCTATATATTACTCCCTATTATTTCATGGCCCCCGAGTAATGTTTAAAGACTCCCTCATTGAGAGACACGTGACACCTACTGCAAGTAGCCTGGGTCGAGCTATTCTAATGTTGTAATGTAGGAAAATAATATCCGCTCTAAAGCTGACGGACATTAAAATAACAAAACCTCTTGCCTAATATTGCGCTGAATTATGGAAAAAATATTGCTGAAACAAGATGAAAGGCCCACAGCTTAGCCTACACGATCCCAAGGAAAGAGGGAGGGGGTGGGGAATAGCATTGTCCCCTTGATTCGAAACATGCGTGGGCAGGTACAATGGGTCTGCTAAATAAATAGAATGGACAAATTTAAGTAAAACAACCGATTTTTTCAACCTCACAGTAGCACTCAACCAAGACATCCACTACATCATATGTGACAATTGATGTTCAGTTACCTGAGCCTGTACGCCGAGTGATTAGCCGGCTGATCACACCAACAAATCGGTCAGTGTAAAACGCAGACGACGGACTGCAGAGTGCAAACCGGAGGTAAAAATGCAGACTGCAGATTCGGGATAAAATGTCGACTGTACAGTGCAGACCGGGGAATAAAATGCAGACTGAGGGTGAAATGCAGACTACAGACTCCATAATTTTTAAATCATCGTGTTATCTCCACTACCGAGTGCTAACCGGAAACAGAGGTTTTCAGGCTCGAGTTAGAGAGGGTTTAAATTATCTGGATTCGCCTGTTTATCCACCAGAAAAGTGTGAAAAGTAGCACATGCTGTGTTACTTGATCTGACTCGGATTCTGACAAGAAGCAAGCTCATGACAAGCATTTTCAGTTGCATCATTTCTTACCTTCAGTATCGGCGAATGTGATAGCTACAGCATCTACGATCCTGAGATCTCCGTAGTCAGTTGAATATGAACACTGA